CAGAATCAAAACGCAAACGCTAAAGTAGAACAAGATCTGATTAGAAATTTCCAAGAACAATACGCCTAAAAGAAAAGAAACCCAGAAACACAAACGCGAATCTCTAATCAAACCCTTAACCTCCGAATCCGTAGAGAGTCCTTCCTTGCCTCTTGAGCGCGTAAACAACATCCATGGCGGTCACAGTCTTTCTCCTTGCGTGCTCGGTGTAAGTCACAGCGTCACGAATCACGTTCTCCAAAAAGATCTTGAGAACTCCACGCGTCTCCTCGTAGATCAGACCACTGATACGCTTGACTCCACCTCTACGAGCCAACCTCCGAATCGCAGGCTTGGTGATTCCTTGGATGTTGTCTCTCAGAACCTTCCTGTGACGCTTAGCTCCTCCTTTGCCCAAACCTTTTCCTCCCTTTCCACGACCCGACATTTTCTCACCGGAGATTAGAGATTTTTGTCGAGAAAGTTTATAAGCTGAAGAAGAATCAAAGCAAGAGTTGATCTGAGGTGAAGAAAGATGTGAAATTGGTCTTATAGGGGAAAGATGGAGACTGTATGATTTGATCTAACGGCTGAGATATCGATCCGTGTATACCACAAGAACATTTAAGAACCGTCGATCATTTTTAATCAACGGTGTATAGTAGCGATCCGCGTGATGGCAGTATTAGCCAATAAAAATTAGTTGCTTTTTCACGAGGCGCCACGAATTAGGGTAATGAAGCGCCAATTATTTAGAATTCGTAAAATAAAAATTGCGCCAACAAATTAATTGAATTCTTTTCATACGCGTTCATAAATAATTAATCATACGAATCACAATTTTCAAAATTATTTCACATGTATCGGTCTCTGGCCTAAGCCATAAGAGCATCCGCATTGGAGACATTTTGTATGTGTCTTTAAATATAAAATTATTAAAAGTTGAGTAAAAAGAAGAAAGAGAGTGTTTTTGGTTGAAATAATGGGGTGTATTGAAATATAAAATTAATAAAATTTGAGTAAAGAGATGAGATAGTGGGTATTATTGGAGAGATTGTGTCTTTAGAAAGACATAAATAGTGACATTTGGAGAGAGAATGTGAGTGTGTTTAAATATAAAATTAATAAAAATTGAGTAAAAAGATGAAAGAGAATGTATAAAGTTGAGTAAAAGGAAGAGAGAGTGTGTTTTAAATATTTTTTTATTTAGAGACATCCACCTTGGGTCTCCAATGTGGATGGTCTAAACGTTACACAAGACAACCAAATTGATAAGCCTATTTTAGACGAACATAAACAAAATGAAACCATCAATTTAAGAAACACAAACTTTATCATGGTTTGCATCACATTGAAATTTTTAGTAATATCTTAACAGTTCATAATTAAACCAAATTCACATCGAGTTTTTGTATTTTAATTGAAAATAGAAACCCAACATTTTTATTTTCATCTAAAAGAACATACAGTACCACAATAACACACTTGAATCAACACAGTAAATGTATAACGTACGGGCTCTGAGAAATAAAGATAGAGAACAAGACAGGTCAAGGCCACAAGATCGTTGAGTGATTTCATTAGACTTGTGAATCTGTGATATTAAAGGAACTCAATGGTCCATCTGAATGGACAAACGAATAGGCCTTCAGTGAATCCGTGCCTTGACTCATATTTTCCCCCGAATTTTTAGGCACCAGACACTCTTTTAGTTCGATGACAACATGAGACATGGTTGGTCGATTTGCTGAAGTTGGATGGGCGCAAGACATTGCCAGCTCAAGAGCTCTCGAGGCAGAGTGAGAATCATAGTCCCCGTTAAGCTTTGGATCCATGATCTTAGTAATATCTCCTCCCTTAAGTTCAGACTCAACCCATGGAGTTATGTGAGAATTTTGGCGGTTTCGATCAATCACTGGTTGATTTGTGATCATTTCCAATAACACAATCCCGAAACTGTACACATCGCTTTTCTCACCCAAATGGCTTGTATGGTGATACCTGCAAGGCGAGATCACGGTAAAATCTTCAAGCATTGAAGAAGGAAGAGCGAGTTTCATTGCAATTAAGTATGTGGTTTGAAAACTTTTAATACTTACTCGGGATCAAGGTAACCAGGAGTACCAGCAACCACCGTCGAAACATGAGATTTACCTTCAACTTGGCATGATCTCGAGAGCCCAAAATCAGCGAGTTTGGCCTTATAATGCGCGTCCAACAATATGTTTGTAGTTTTGACATCTCCATGAACCATTGGTGGTGTGCATCCAGTATGTAAGTGGTCCAAACCTATGCAATGGATTCATCCTTATTTACTGATTATTGTAAATTGCCAATCAAATAGATTCTAGCTCCATTGTTTAACTTATTACAAACCTAGTGCTGCCTCTACAGCTATTTTTAGCCGAGTAGCCCAATTGATGACGGATCTACCTCCTTTTCCTGTGTATTAGATCGTTAGATCCTTTCAAGTTTCCAGGAAAAAAACAAATGTTTCATGAGTTCATGATACATGTGAATCCACTAGAAAACTGTACACCAAGTTTTACCTGATAGATGTTGTCTTAAGTTTCCATTGGGTACAAACTCGTAGACGAGGGCCAAGTGGTCTCCTTCATCGCAATATCCGACAAGGCTTACCAAATTCGTATGGTGAACTCTCAGAAGAAGACCAACCTATAAAATACCAAACAAAAAGTCCATAATTAACCTTTGTGATGTTAAAAACATATCCTACTTGGAAAAGATTGTACTACGACTACCTCTGCCGTGAACTCTTTATAGCCTTTGGTTGATGATTGAGACACTACTTTAACAGCTACCTGTTGGGAACCATTTATAGTACCCTGACAGACAACGCCAAATCCTCCTTCCCCGATAATTATTTCAAAATTATTAGTCATTTTCATAACCTCTGAGTAAGTAAACCTTCTCTTCTGCATTTCGACTGATGTAACATTCACTGTTGGCGTACTCGGTGGCGGGTGAACAACTGTTAGAGCAGAATTTAGGGGTTAGCCAAAACCATATTCACAAGACTTATTGGTTTTCTTCTTTGATATGTCTCTCTTTTTTATATACCTCCAACGTTCGACGGCTTTTTCTTCCTGAAAACTAGAAAAAGAACCAGCACGACAACGAGGATGGCTGCAACACCAGCTGATGCAACAATTGCATCTAGAACATTCACACCAGAGGAAGAAAGCATTGGGTTTCCTTGATAACTATGAGAAAACAAGTCTGGTTTAATTTCAATACATCAAAACACGCAAAAGGGAACAGAGAAATTTTCAGAAGATATATATGTGGGAGGTTTCCTACTGTAGTTCGAGTCCTTCTCTTTCTAGAGACTGAGGAATTGAACCTTCAAGATCATTCTCACTTATGTTTCTGCATTGAAAGAGATTTGAACAAGATCCGAGGTGGAATTTTAATTTGAAAAGCAGTAGAAATTATATATGTTTGATACATACATACGTGACCATGATCTGAGAGGGAATTTGAAAACATGCATGAGAAAAACTTACATGAAGAACAATGATTTCATCTTTCCTAGAAACTCGGGCACTTTTCCGGTCAATCTATTATTCGACAAGTCCCTAAAGTTTGCAAGAGAGAATTACATCTGAAATTACTTTGGATTTCCTTGCAAACATATAAGTTCCTCCTTTGATCAAAATAAACATATATAATACTTACAGCTTTTCTAGTTGCGTAAGATTTTGAATGGCAGCTGCTATGCTTCCAGTTAAGCCGCTTGAAGACAAGTTTCTAGTGAAATTTTCCAGAACCATGCACATTCAAAGTGGTTAATTAATAACCATGATTACTTATAGATCTTTGAAGAGTGAGTGTACATACACATGTGCACTAGTGAACTTATGACTTACAGAGAAGTGATTCTTGGTGGTGTGGAGATATTCGTGTTGCTGCAGTTTAAACCGTCCCACATATACTGCTGAGGGACGCATGGATCACCTTGCCAATCGATTCTTCCCAATTCATAGGTGGATTCAATTTTTTCTATAGCAACCACTGACATATAAAGGTTTTGATGATGTTAGAATGATAGATGTTATACGCATTATAACCTGGAAAAGAAAGTCACATACCGTCGCTTTCATCCGTTTGGGACTGCGGAAACTGAATAACTGTGTAGACTTCAAAAGCATTAAGTAGAGGTGGCAGCGTTGAACTGTTGGTTCTTACCAGCTGCAAACTGCATTCCCCTCCATCGCATGTCATTGGAGATACGCTTAAGACAGTAGTTACCTTTAACTTCTTAGGAATCACAGGGTCTGACGATAAAACTTTCCCATTCAATACCATGTTGAATTCCCTGGTATCATTACTTCCCAAGCCTTGGATCTCAGCAAAGTGTCCATACAAGTAATACTGGTCATCAGGTTTTTCCGGATTACTCCATTCAAGTTTTAATGGCTCCTTGGCATTAGTAGGTATGGCTGCAGTTGCAAGTGCGGCTTTTGGTGGATCATAGTCGTTGGAATTTTCTACAGCGCGAGTGGTGGATATCAGCTCGGTCCAATTATCCTTTTCAAAGTACGCGTTCCATTCGCGATCATAGACATCATCCGGGTACCTGAGGGTGGAAACAATATTGTTTAGCAGCGGAATAAGTAAATAAGCAAATCTTATAGTTATAGTATAGGTAATATTATGATTGCTCTGTTTCATTTTTTCTGCTTAGTATTTAGAAATAGTCTTTAGTTTTACACCAACCATGTTAGAAATGAGAGACACAAACAAAATAAACAGAGCAAAAACAAGAGATATTTACCTTAACAATTTCTCTGTTTCGCTTAGATATAGTCGAGTATGAAGACGCAGAGAACCAGACTTGGTGATATAAGTGTCGTTTCCCATCGGCCTTATTTCCAAGGTGGATATTATTGGAGTAGTTGGCCCCGTCTTAACAAGACAAATCTGCAACAAGTCTGATGTTGGGATGTGTAACATCTCTTCCGTTGTACCATTCTCTTGTCTATACAAGTCTACCGTGGCCCATAGATTTGGTCCAAGATACAGATCAAAGTTGGGGCTAATGTCAAAACCATCATAATTTCCATATATGAACTTAGCCCTGATCAGATGATTTCTTCCCTTCTCGACTGGTATATTGTAGCAGTTCCGTAATCCGTGTGGAAAATATCTCAGCGACCTGTATGGCTTTGGGAACTCACTCTCTCGATTTGCTTGGATACTATGAGTTTCTCCACTCACGGCGAATATTGCGTCCGAATAGAACTCTAATCCAGTCTCAGTCTCTTTATAAGGAGACGGTTCATTCTCGGGTTGCCCGCAATCCAAACTGATGAACTCTGTTCACAAAAAATGGAACAAAATTCAAGAGATAACGGTCGAAATATTGCCAAATACAATACAAGTACAATTAAGAACCAAAATGGTAATAAAGAGAAGAAGAATATACCTTGTTGGCTCTGAGCTTGAACTATATGAATGATGGACAAAGTTCCGATTAGCATCAACAAAAGTCCAAGAAACCTCTCCATATTCTCTTAACTACAAGCGAATAAACCAATGCCTATGCTTTGGGGGATAAACGGAGAATATATAAGCAAACTCATATTTAAAACAAACAAAAAAAAAGACTTTTCAAGTCAATGAAAATGTGTTCTCTAGTGCAACTTCAACATATGCGAAGAAGGATAATAAGAATAAGAGGATAACAATGTTCCAAACTGGACTGGGGCCATAATAGTAGTAGATCAGTATAGTTTCTTGGTCAGTCAATAATGTATTTTAGTTGCAAAGAATCTTCCAATCACACTAAATTGATTTAATAGCCACCAGACTCAGCCACCCACAATGATGCATGAAGAAATGTTCGTAAAGAACAACGAAGATATTGGCTTTATTAGCCACTAGACTCATTCAGCAACGAACACAAATTGTGAGATATAGCCAAATGGTTATTGACTTTGGACTGGTGAAGTCATGAAGATGAAATCAAATGCAGCTAAAGCCATTACCAGAGCTCCGTAATCAGGATACGAGCTAAAAAAGGTTGAATTTTTTAGGATACGAGTAAAAAAGGTTTGAATGATCTCAGTCGGCTTCGGGGAGTCGGGGAATGAGAAATGATAATCTCGCGGCGAGAGTGTTTCGTCATCAGCAGTTCCCGGCGGTGAAACCTCTTCATCGGGAACAGAGAAAAATATGACATGTCAAAGCAAAATGTGGCTCGCTCGTGTTACATTTTTATAGAAATAAAAATTTCATTTCAATACAACACAGTGAATGGTTTGTTGATTTGGTGAGAGTTTTCTTTCTGAAGAATACAAAAATAAAGAACCAATACCGCAATGGTAATAATGGCTACAGAAGAAACTGATACAACAATCACCACTGGAAATTTTGGTTTCTCGCATAAACCAGAGAGACAAAGCCTCGGATTCCCTTGAGTACTACAAGAAAGACAAACAGAGGCAAGATAGATAATTCCATATTGGTACAACAAGTAGACAAGACTCAATACTATCTTGCCCTAGGAACCACCGAAGTATCCACGCTAATGCTCATTTCTTGAGACTCCAGGCCTTGATTCTTGCTCATCCTCGAGTTTTCGCTCACAAGACACTCTTTGAGCTCGTTAATAACATAAGACTTGGTTGGTCGTTCCGAGGAGGAAGGATCAGCGCATGACATTGCCAGCTCAACAGCTCTCCACGCAGAATTATAGTCATAAACCCCGCAAAGGTTTGGATCCATGATCTCACTAATATCACCTCGGTTCACCTTAAAGCCAACCCATTGTGTTATGTGAGAATTTTCAGAGGTTTGATTAATCACAGGTTGGTTTGTGATCATCTCCAATAACACGACTCCAAAACTGTAGACATCACTCTTCTTAGACAACCGACTTGCGCGGAAATATCTGAAAGACAACAACATGGTATATACTCTTTAACCAAGGGAGGAATAGAAAGTTTCAGAACAAGTGTAAATGAAAAATTGAAAACTAATAATACTTACTCGGGATCAAGGTATCCAGGAGTACCAGCAATCACTGACAAATCCTCAGATTCGCCTCCACCTTGGAAAGATCTTGAGAGCCCAAAATCAGCTATTTTGGCCTTGAAGTTCTCATCTAGCAAAATGTTGGCAGTTTTGACATCTCTATGAACCATCGGCGGTGTGCATCCAATGTGCAAGTACTCCAATCCTATGCAGTGGAGTCATCTATATCAACTATTTTTTGTAAATCCAATTGAATTGTTACATTGTCCTGCGGTTCTTAACTTAGTACGAACCTAGTGCTGCTTCCAAAGCTATTCGCAGTCGAGTACTCCAGATGATGATGGATCTACCTCCTTTTCCTGTATATTAGATATGTTAAATCCATTAGAGTTTTACGAGTTTCATGAGTTAATGCTACACGTGAAATTCCCATAAAAATATCACCTGACAAATGTTGTTTTAAGTCACCATTCGGCAGAAACTCATAGACGAGGGCCAAGTGATCTCCTTCATAGCAATAACCAACGAGGCTCACCAAATTTGTATGGTGCACTCTCAGAAGAAGATCAACCTAAGGTAAAATATCCATGTCAAGAAAATATTGAAATCCATAACCTTTGGTGATTCTAAAGACAGATCTTAGTTTAGTTGGGAAGATCACAGAACTATGAATACCTCTGCTTTGAACTCTATATAGCCTTGAGTTGAAGATTGAGAAAGTGTTTTGACGGCCACTTGTTCAGAACCATTTACAGTACCGTGATACACCATGCCGAACCCTCCTTTACCTAAAACGCTTTGGAAGTTATTTGTCATGTTGATGACCTCTGAATATGTGAACCTTCTGCTTTTCTTAGTAACAAATGTATCATTCTTCGTTGACGAAGTCCACGGTAGCAAGTGTAGAACTGTACATCAGAATAAGGATGTTTTTTATTTGTATCTCTTCTTTTATTGCAACAACATTCGCAATATTATCTTATTTGATGTCTCTTGCAAATACCTTGTAGAATCGTTGGATTTTTCTTTTTGACTACAAGAAAAAGAACCAATACAGCAATGACAATGCCTACACAAGCAACTGATGCAACAATTGCCACAAGAACTTTGTTCTTAGGAGGTTTTCTAATAAAAAGCCATGGGTTTCCTTCAACACTACAATAAGACAAGGGTTGTTAAGGACACCACCAAATGCACAAAAGGTTGTAGATAATGGTTGATATATATTTCAACGCTATGTGGAAAGTTTCTTAGGATAGCTTTAGTCCTTACCTTTTAAAGGCTTGAGGAAGTGAACCATTAAGATTGTTCCCACTTAAGTTTCTGTTAAAAACGACTATGATCTGAGTTGGAATTTGAAAAGCATTAGATATATGTTGAGAGAATGACTTACATGACCGACAATCATCAGGATTTGGTGAAGGCCATTCAATCATCAATGGCGCATTGGCAATAGTAGGCGTGGCAGCAGTAGTGAGTGCATCTTCCGGTAGCTCGTAGTAGTTAGAAGCAACCACATTGCTAGCGGTGGAAATTGGGGTCCACTCTGGCTTAAAGTACGCAGTCCATTGGCGATCAAAGACATCATGCGGGTACCTGAGGGTGGCAACAATATCATTTTAGCAGGGTGTAAATAAGGATTTATTTTGTCTTATACTTTTACTTAGTGTCGAGAATTAATCCATTCCTTCACAAATTCACCCACAGAAAATGGAGCAAAACAGAGCAGAAAGAAGAGATAATGGTCCGTTTAAGTTGATACCTTAGACCAGAAGTTGAATTGGTAAGATATCCTCGAAAAGAAAGCTTTAGAGAACCCGACTTTACGATATAAGAATCCTTTCCCATTGGCCGTAATTCCAAAGTTGTTATTACCGGTGTAGTCGTCCCATTCTTAACAAGACAAATCTGCAACGAGTCTGATGTTGGAATGTGTAAGATCTCTTCCCGTGTACCATTCACTCGCCTTTCCAAATCTATTTTGACCCATAGATTAGGTCCAATATACATATCAAACTTGGGGCTGATGTCACGACCATCATAATTTCCATATATGAACCTAGCCCTAATCAGATACTTTCTTCCCTTCTCAACTATCAGATTGTAGCAGTTCCGTATTCCGTCTGGAAAATATCTCAGCGTCCTGAATGGCTTCGGTAAGTCATTTTCCCGATTTGCTTCAACATTACTAGTTTTTCCACTCTGGATGAATGTTGCGTCCGAAGAGAACTGCAATCCAGTTTTCTCCTCTTTATAAGAAGAGGTTTCATTTGCGGGTAGCCCGCAGTCCAAACTGATGAACCCTGTTAAGCGGTATGGAACAAAATTCACTGTTAAAAGAGAGAACATAGAGAAATATTGCCCAAGAGAGAACAGATAGAACCAAATGGT